GTTGTATCTCACACACAGACTTTGTTGTATCTCACACACAGACTTTGTTGTATCTCACACACAGACTTTGTTGTATCTCACACACAGACTTTGTTGTATCTCACACACAGACTTTGTTGTATCTCACACACAGACTTTGTTGTATCTCACACACAGACTTTGTTGTATCTCACACACAGACTTTGTTGTCACACATCTCACACACAGACTTTGTTGTATCTCACACACAGACTTTGTTGTATCTCACACACAGACTTTGTTGTATCTCACACACAGACTTTGTTGTATCTCACACACAGACTTTGTTGTATCTCCCACATTAACTTTGTTGTATCTCACACACAGACTTTGTTGTATCTCACACACAGACTTTGTTGTATCTTACACACAAACTTTGTTGCATCTCCTAAACAGTCTATAATATATCCAACACATTTTCCCAGACGCTATATTTTAACTCATGCACAGAATTAGTTATGTATAATAACACATACTTTAGCTCATCTAATACACGGATTGTATTGTATTTTGTACACTGACTTTTTGTCAGTCTGTGCCTGGGAATAGGTGCAACAAGAAACAATGCAAACATTGTTACATTTCTTGTATACGAATAAACAGGGTTCGCATGATAACAAAGAAAAACCCACCTATATCTATACATAACGCAATATTTCCAAAGACGAAAAAAGGGCAAATCATCCTTCAGAATTTCAAATATTTGGATTGCCTATTAATGATAATGATAATGTTGTTACAAATGTGTTTTACTGTGTAATACATTGACGGAGTTAACGTGTTTGTAAATTTATGTGAAAAAAAATTGAAAAATTAACGTTAAATTCCTATTGAACTTAAAATTTATTGTTTGTTTTATTTTATTTAATATTTACAATAGTAAATATACATGTATATTATGATATAAACTAAGGAAAATATACATATATATTCTTTTGTCAGTCACCAATTCACCAATGTTATCTTTTTTTACATGCATTTCATAAAATTCAATATTTCATATACAGTGTAGTTATTACATATAATGTATTGTTGAATAATATACATGAAAATTACTTAGTGGTATATATAAAGTCTTTATTTTAAACAGAGTTACGGTTCATTGCGGTCAATCTGATCCACCTCTCTGATAAGACCACCTCGCTATTAAGACCACTTTTGTTCAGTCCCCAAAGTGATCGTAATAGCGAGGTTTCACTAGTCAAATTAAGGTCCCAATCAAAGAAGAAATATACGGAGCTTCTGATAGGCAACATCTTCTACAGGTTTTGTGGTAAGATCTTCCAACTGACCATTGGCATAACTAAATTCCTAAATGAGAGCTAAAAGTGCCGTTCTTTTGGCAGACAATTTTCATATGAGATTGAATTTATCGCACATCTTGTCAAAACAGTCAAAAATACCTTACAAAGTCCTTTAATATCACTTTCAGTTATACTGATAACGTCTTGTCTACACAAGACATTGACTGTCTAGGTCCATCGTACATACTCACAGGAAGACACGACAGACTCTTCTACATCAGTCGGTTTTTTTCGATCTTTTCCTACAACCAAACCAACATCGACAGCTTTCCACCAAGCTGTATGATAAGCATGATCATTTTAATTTCCCAACTGTGAATTTTCCATTTCTGGATATCATCATCCCTGCATTCCGAACCTATGGTGCTTACATGTCGCAGTTGTTTTGATATCCAAGTGCCTGTTCCAATTATCACGATTTTCATTCAAGGAAAGTTTTATGTTCGTCAAAGACATTTCATTTGGAAATATTCTATTTCTTTCTGCGATACGAAACTGGACGTGTTCGAAGTTCTTTAGTTTGTCTGTTAATTCCGTTGTTGCATACCTTGTTCTTAGTTGAGAACGTGACATTACTTACTTGGATTGACCAAGGTTTATCTGGCGGGTTTCATCAATAAAGCAGAGGACGCTTACTTTTTCGGAACACCTGGCCTTATTCTCCTCTTACTTTTCATGAGTCTCCATGTAAATCTTTCTTTTGATTATATTTTTCCCTAGTTTGGGTTTGAATTATGATTATGATGTCAATGAATACAGGAAAACAAACATGTGATGTCAATGAATACAGGAAAACAAACATGTGATGTCAATAAATACAAGAGGACAACAAACATATGATGTCAATGAATACAAGGGGACAAAATACATAAGATGTTGTCTATCATACGCAAACTTTGTTGTCTGTCTCACATTTTATTGTCTTTCGCAAACATACCACGTTGTACAGAGTTTGTTGTCTTTCAAGTATAGCATTTGTCTTTAACTGAGAAGTGTTGCCCTTCTTAAAAATCCTTTGTTGTCTCTCACACACTGACTTTGTTGTCTCTTTATGAGGAGTAGGTGAGAGGAACAGGATACTTGTTTCACTATCAATCTGGTCTAAGGGAGATAATTGACGTAAATATTTGGACGAGTTATTTCCCTTAGGTGATCACTCGCTATTACAGAAGTAATCGAAGACCGAAAAGTAACAATTGATGACAACATCACATATTTATTTCTCCATCTAAGGTATGTTTATTTAAATATGAAACAGCATATAACAAACTGACGTAACAAATGTAACAGTTTATTAAACGGAAAAGAGATATATGAGTTGTAAAATACATGTAAATCAAACGATACTGACTGCATTTGTAAGTTGAACTTGTTACAGATTTTAAAAGAAATAAAGTAATTCAAAGGAATTTACATATAACACTGAACAGAACAATATTAGTTAATCATTATAAAAAAAATTATATAATATATATACTAAGATATATGTATTGTATTGTGTCTGATCTTAAATGTAAGAAGATTTAACACCTAGGCATCACATTAAGCATATTAAGAGCTAAATGTCTTTTTTTTTTTTTTTTTTTTAGAAAATGAAAGAGAGCAACAAATAGGTTTTCTTAAGATACGCTTTAAATATGCAATTCTGATTTAGTCTATCCATTCGTTATCTCGAATTCGGAGGAAGAATAGGAATACTCTGAGATAACCGAGTATTCGATTTAAGTGAATTCGAATGTTTTGTGTAAAGGACCGAATAAATGCTTCGAATTAAACGTGGTCTTCGACATATGCGAGTTCGAGATATTGAGTTTTGACTGTACAATACATTTGATTTTTGGTTGACAATCACAACATACTATACATATATGGAACTGCTGTTAGTAGACGTCATATAAGCTAAACAAAACAAACTCCAAGATTTGAAAGCATTAAAAAAAAGATGGATAATAATGACAATTCATTGTTACAAAGTGATAAGTCGACAGCAAGGTAAGTCGATAATCAATCGATATAATACATAAACAATATGGAAACGTTTGTAATAAGTTTATCTTAATACCATTGTTGTTAAAAAGTCAAATTCAGATGGTATTTCTTAAAAGACAACTTCACGTGAAAAATAATTTTAAAGTATTTTATCATAATCGTAAGCACGAAAATAACCAAAAGAATATTTATTGAAATTAACATTCCCCTTTTTGTTTACATAACATCAAATATTAAGACAATACTCTGTATAACCATAGGATTATTTGTAAATACATTGTCATCACTTCCTTTGTTTTAGGGATACGAAACTATCACTGAAAATCGAATGTTATGTTATCAACGTTACAATAAAAAACATAATCTTATTTATGTTGCACAACTAAAATGTTGAATAGTACACCAGTCAAACATTTTGAGGACGTCATCCATTCTCTAACATGCTTGAACATGTACATCGACCATCACATGACAAACAAGCACTTATCAGCGTTTTATCTTGCTCACTTTTTACCATTTCATCTCTATCCATTCTGAGATGTAGATATATCAAATTCACAAGATCAATAAAGTTTCTTTTCTGTTAATGAAATAAATAAGCCAAAAATTAATTTAAAAGAAGGAGGGAAAATCACAAAATATTTTAACAGCTTTCAAACATTCTTCATACCGACACGAAACATCTTCACAATCAAATTAACAAGAAATGTCATGGTCACTATATTTGACCATAAAACCCCAAAAGTAAGGTAAGTTGAAGAATTAAGTACCTGCAATATATTTTTCAGTTATTGTATCTTCCTACAACAAACTTCTACCGATATTCATTTTGAAAGTCCTAGTACTACTACCGGCAGCACATACCTGGACGAGATTATGAAACAGACATTTAGGCAGCTCCGATGATGTAGTTATCGGTAATTATTTACCATACAGGGTAAAATTTATAATAAATTCTTTTCTATTTTCGAATTAAGCAGATATTACTTAAGACGAGGCAGGTTTAAGGTCTGTACTAAAATACCACATTAAGCGAAACATAGAACATAAAATATTATATAAAAAGGCATGAAGGATGTCAACGGCGTCTTTCCCCGATGGTCGATGGTCCAGCGAAAGAAAATATTCCTGGTGTCCATTAAAAGAGATAGACCGTTCACTGTTGATTTTGATGAGATATCTGTAAAAGAAGAGAAAAGAGAGTTCCGAAACATACGTTATATATATCTAACTTCTACACAGAAAAGGAAAAGTTATTAGATATTAATCAAAATCAAAGAAAAAAAATTAGCGTCACATTATACAGGGCGACAGATGCTTTGCTGAAATCGAGGAGAAGGGGACAGATAATAAATGAACTTATCTTAATCATTTATATCATACTGATATAATTTATTGATAAACGTTTCGATTTAAATATAATAAAAAAAAATCTTTTAGCTTGATAGATATAGGAAACCCAAATATTGGAGATCTTTCAAGAATCAAAATCGATTTATATGCAAATGGAATTCCTTTTAAACAACACAGCTAGCATTTACAGGAGTTTGATTTTCAATTTATACGTTATAACTCGATGTGGATTGGGTTTCCAGTTAAAAATTAAAAAAAAACTTCTAGTCAAGAGGACAAAAGGCCATTGTTAGCTTGCCAGACTTACCTATGAATAGCCGTCAATGTATAACATGCTTATTTCATGAACGGATTTCTTTCCTTTTCCGGAAGTGTCTTCATAATGTCGTGAAGATTCAGGCGCAGGTCCGACAACAGCTCAATAGGTTTTTGTTTTCCGTGTCCAATATCATCTGTTGTACAAATAATGATACGATGAGAGAATTTGATTAGAGACTTTGCTTGCTCTGGTATTTCAGTTCAGTTGTGACATTTTATCCGATTGCAAGAAATGACTAGATAGTGTGTTATTTTAAAACCCTACTTTATCACTGTAAGCAAAAAGTCATTATTTCCTAAAAGCAAATCAAAAAAATGATTAACAGTACATGCATATATGCAAGGAAGGCAATTCTCACAAAAATAATTGATTCAACAAATATTTCGGAAAAAAACCTGTTACCTTTGGGTTTCTGTTCTTGTTTCTTCTTACTTCTGCTGAAGAATTTCTTCACCTTTTCAATAATGAAAGCTACCAGTTCTTCCGAACGGTCGTTCTTCGTCTCTGCATGTACTATCGCTATACTTTCGCACAGGATGGCAAGAAACATGGTAAGCAGAACATAAACTATTAGCAAGATGTAAGTAAAGAAGTAAAGCTGGGCCATAATAGGATCTTGTTCATTCAGCTCCGTAAATTTACTTTTTCCAATCATGCTTATGAAGAGCGTTCCCATAGTGTCAAATATGTTCCAGTAGGCTTTGATGTTTCTTCCGAACACAAGATATCCCAGCATGCAGTACCCCATGAATATATAAAAGAACAGTACCATGAACCAGAAGAGGTCTTTAGCACAGTTATCTACCACTCTAAAAACTTCGCCAATTCTTTTGTCGTAGCCAAGCACACCAACCACTCGAATAGTAGAAAGGAATACAAGACATCCCAATACAGTCACAAAAACCAGATCCCAAAACGCAAGGTGTTGAAAGTTTACAAAGTTCTTTGGATCATCTTTGAATTTGCCCATCGTCTCGTTTGCAAGGATAAGCCTACCGAAGTACATAGCAACGCCAAGACATCCTAACATAACGCAGAAGAAATCTACAACATTCCACGCGTTTCCGAAGAAGTTTCCTTTCGTCTTTACCATTCCGTAAATTACCTTTATTATCATCATCGCTAAGAATATGAGAAACATGACTTCACAGAATATCATGTAAATTCCGGTACTACCATGGTGATGATATATTCTCATTGGATATATGGTATACATTGTAGTAACTCCACCAGTCTCTGGGAATTCGGCCATTAACATGACATACGTAAACAGGTTCAGATTTGCCGAGTAAAGCGTGAATTCTAGGAACACAGCTCTCGTCTGTCTGTCGAACCATAGAAGTCGGTTTAATTCGTTCAGTGTTCTGTTTGAAAAGTCCCAGTTTACGTCGAGTTCTGTTATGTAGCCTCCTCCGCTATATGTTGAATAGTAACCAGTTACGGGTATTCCCCAAATAGAACTAGCACTCGTGTGCTTCCAACCGTTGCGGGAAAAGGAATAGGCCTCCTTTTCAATATCACAAGGCAAAGGTTGCCAGCGAAAACAGAAGTCATCCGATTCTTCGTTTGTGAAGGAAAATTCAGGATAAGTTTTTATTCTTCCAAAGAATGGATAATCTGCATCGTCTGTAAAAATCAACATTAATTGAAAAAGATAAATTCATCAAACAGTAAATTTAGAAACAAAATTATGCGGATACTTTTTATCAAAAGTCATGACCCATATTCACGAAACCATGCCTATGCTCGCTGTCCATTATGTACTCAACCAAACTGTCTTTGAACTTGGTTAAATGCAGTTTGAAAGATTAGCATAAACGTTTAAAGTTTTACTTCTCTTTCCGAAATACCCTTAGGTCATTACATGCTAAATCACCAAGAGTATTTGAGCTTTTGATCAAAATGTGCAGTTGAGCATAAAGGCGGTCTCATGAATACAGACCCCGGGTAAAAGTCTTCTGCTTCGTCGATAACACCGGCATGTAAATCAGAAGTCAAGTTCAAATGATAACAAATAGGAATTCAACATAACACTAGAGCTAACTTATAATTTCATATCGCACAACATTGTACCTTCGATGACGCGGACTTGTCGCAGACGTGGAGGACCGACCCGGAAGTTGGTGAGATCAGCGTAATACTGCCGCCATCTCCAATGCATTTTCTCGCCGTTATATTCAAATTCAGGGAACAGAGCTGGAAAGGCAGTCAGCTTCAACCAGTCAATAAAATTCACTGTCGTTTGAATCTGAAGTTAGAAACGATATACTTTCATTTAATTTCAGAAAGGAAATAGTTTTAAATTTCATTTCTTTTTGTAGAAACAATGTCATTTATGACTCTGCTGATTTTCATCAATCTTATCAGTCAGATATTGAACTTGAGATATTTTCGATTGATGTGCAGGTCTAATGAACATGTACTGCTGTAAACGAAGAATAAGGTATCGACATGCACGTAAATTAAATTCCTAACTCAAGGTTAAAAGAACATAAGCAAACAGCATAATGAAGGTGAATACAAATCTATTATAAAGAGAGCCTTAACATATTGCTAGGAAAATAAAGTTTTATCGAAATATCTAAAGGCCAGTGTTATCTGCTCCACCGGTAATATCGATCATGCAAACCTAGCTCAAACCTAGTAACACTACATATGTGTTCTCAGACGGGTATGACTATATAATCAACTTATTTACAGCTTGTGATCAACAGAGCGACAACTTACGGAGGTGAAGGTGGGTTTATTGTCCAAAGGGTAAACAAAATGTTTAGAGATTATATCATGCACATTGTACGATCTGTCGTCACGGTTACTGAAGCTGATGCTATATATAAACCACAGAAGTAACATGGTCAGGAAACATTCTTTCACAGCGCGTGCCATCATGATTTCACGTTGTCTCTCCTTCCTAGCCTCCTGGATTGTTTCCGTTGTGAAAAAACGTGCTGGCATCTTTATATCTGAAAATGATTGAGTTTATTATGACTGGATGCTTAAATTGCTGTACAAGAGCAGAAACAAAAGCAATGAAGGGAAACAACTCGTCAGCCGACTCTATAACACCTATCAGACTCAAAAAATACATAACACTATTTATCAGTACTTTGTAAAACATTTATCGGCGATTCTGGAATCAAATAAGGCTTGTTTAGCACAATCTTACATTTCTGTTCTATTTAATACTAGATATATGAAATGATGATTTATTTTCGTTTGGATATAACGGTGGAATGCACTATCAAATTTAAAATTCTTAATATAAATGAAGGTTTAAACAACCACACACACACACACACACACACACACACACACACACACACAGAGACATGTAAATATATATAAACGTAATCGTCCCGGTATAGATTACTTATTGTGTAAACTTTTCCAACCAAACGTTCCCACTACTTGCAGAAGAATGATCACTTATTAGTTAACTAATTAGTTCCAATAGTTTCTAATTATGCTATACAGAGTTACAATGAGAACATACCAGTAGGACAGCTAAATCGCTGGCGGTAGTTTCGTAAAATCAGACCTCGATCTAGTGGCGAAGGCTTGAATTTGTCGAGTTGAGTAAAAATGAACGCGAAGAAAGCCGCCATCAAAATAACCTAAATAACGGAAAATAATGCACGTTTTATCATCAAATTACAAATATCTAATTTTGTTCATAAAGGTGCTATTTGCAAAAGAAAACAAAATCGAATTATTTGATATGTGCTATGAATATATTTTACAAGAGGATAGTACTTTTGATTAAAATATACTTTGATACCAAAGAGTAAAATAATGCATATTGCATAACACAACTGATTCGCCCTTCTAAGGCTCGTGAAAGACGATAAAGGCCAAATATTGAAACCTAGAAGGCAACTGACGAAAATTGAAATTGAATGAAAGAAATGTCAAAGTTTTGAGGGCAAGGTGCAGGTAACAACTTTGATCAATATTTTCTGTAAGATTTTTTTTTACCTTAACGGGATCCAAAATTGCTGATGCTTCAAAAAACGATAAGAAGAATTGCGTCAGCCACATTTCTGACTTTTGTTTTCCCCATTCCATGCTATACAACATAAGAAAGAACATGACTACCGCAGATCCCGCTAGTGACAAGAACCAAGCAATATATGCACACCAGAAAGGCAGGATGGTTCCGTCTGCTTTTATGATGCCCTTTGCGACTAGTGTCTTCTCTAATTCTTTGCTCTCTTTGAGCATTCTTTCAGCTATCGTGTCGATAGCGGGTATAGCGTACTTCAAGGCCGGATCTTGTAAATTTTGGTTGATAGTTCTTGGTTTTGACTTCCGAAACAGAAGCACAACTAAAAACACAGTGGGTGTTGAAATGAGAGCTGATATCACCGATACGTAAACGGACTGTAGGGAGAACTTCAGAGGACCTACACGCACCAGACTGGGGTTTTCAAATTCATCGGCAGGGGTAAAGTAAATGGCATTTGCGATCATGCTCATCATAAGGAAAACCATCAAACACGTAACGCGTTGACATCTAGTAAAATGACTGCTGGTCGGTCGGAAAAATATGGAAATCCAGATGTGGTTTTCTGCAAGGTTTTCCTTCGTATTCATATAGAACATGTTTTCGAATGTTGTTACATTTTCTTTACCACACACTGGAAGAACAGCATCTATATTATCATCTGGAGAGTCCATACATAGCCATTTCCCGCACAAGAAGAAATATCTGCAGCAAAGGGGATAAGAAAGACATTAATAAAGAACATTATACATATAGATTCAACCTTCAATTATATGTTGAACAATCGATTTCCAAAAAAAAAAAAAAAAATATGTAAGGAAATTCATCATCGCCATTAAAACAAGTGCAATAAGTAATTTGAGGCCATTGCGACAGTTTTAGTTCTGCCTCTTATTGTCTATCCGTATCTCTTTGTCGCCGTCTTAAAAGGTTAATGCAATTTGGCATTGGACGATCATAAGCACTCACTTTTGTTTGTCCTGTATGTCTTCAATATCCACTCTGTTGAGGTACCATGAAGCCTTAGAACCTTCGCCGGAGTTATCATGCCATATATATACATAGTCGAGTTCACCAAGAGGAAGAGGCGTTGACATCAAGAAATGATTGACAGTAGCGGTGCCCATTTCCTATTTCGAAAAGTTAAATTAAAACATATCGCACTTTTTTTTTTATTTGAAATACAAATAATTTTCAAACAAAAATATCAAACATTGCAAATCAGTGACTTACTCTGCGGACTCCATCGAAAAGTTCTCGTATGCCAGTGTCACCTTCTGATCCGGACACTACAAAGCCTATCCTTGACTGAGTTCCGGCATCTCTGCGCATGCCCGTATATACAGTGACCATGTAGTAATATGTATCATCGATATTGTTGTCCATTAGAGGAGTCACACCCCACTGTAACACGAAACGGTAAGAAGTTAAATATTGTCATAAAAAGTCTTGCACCAGCATTTCCATATTGCTCACCATCAACGGTTAATAAAAACAAAATATTTTCATTTAATTTTTTTATTTATTTATTGATTTATTTATTGTTACTTTTTCGTTTACTTTTTTAGTTTAAGATAGTTATAGTCTCCAAATTATGTTTTCAGTGCCTCTATGTACCTTGACTATATCTTTCTTATCCTGATGTCTAGCCCAGATCATAAGGATGATGTAGGTCAGAATGATTAGGATAAGAAGACAAAGTACTGCAGCTTGATCTTGTGGAGAGAATTTCAGGAAAACCGTAGAAAAATCAATTGTATTCGGCGGAACATAAAACGTGTTTCCAAATGTCATTTCCCTTTCCGTATTACAAGTGCACTCCACCTCGTACCTAGGCGGATACCAGTCCATCTGTGGAGTAAATACACAATATAATTACTGCCGTTAAATGAGGTGAATATGGATATTTATTAACATTGAAATAAAGATATCAACCGACGTAACTGATGCATACAAGCTACATATATATCTTCCACAAGGCGTTTTCATGTTGGTTAACCTTTAAGTTATAAGTGCGATCATAAAAATTGATATCAATGTACATATATGTTTTTTGCTGATAAACATTATTTTGCATTGTCACGTGATCAAGGCATCTACGCCGTGTTTTTGTCTTACATTGTATATCTCGGCATCTATTCTTTATATAATCATTATGCCACCGCAAATATGATATATCTGTCATGTCATGTCAATATGATATATCTACCATGTCAATATAATATATCTGTCATGTCAATATGATATATCTACCATGTCAATATGACAGATCTGTTATGTCGATATGATATATCTAACATGTCAATATGACAGATCTGTCATGTCAATATGATATATCTGTCATGTCAATATGATATATCTGTCATGTCAATATGATATATCTGTCATGTCATGTCAATATGATATATATGTCATGTCAATATGATATATCTGTCATGTCATGTCAATATGATATATATGTCATGTCAATATGATATATCTGTCATGTCGTGTCAATATAATATATTTGTCATGTCAATATGATATATCTGTCATATCAATTTGATATATATGTCAATATGATATATCTACCATATCAATTTGATATATCTGTCATGTCAATATGATATATCTGTCATGTCAATATGATATATCTACCATGTCAATATGACAGATCTGTCATGTCAATATGATATATCTGTCATGTCAATATGATATATCTGTCATGTCAATATGATATATCTACCATGTCAGTATGATATATCTGTCATGTCAATATGATATATCTACCATGTCAGTATGATATATCTGTCATGTCAATATGATATATCTAACATGTCAATATGATATATCTGTCATGTCAATATAATATATTTGTCATGTCAATATGATATATCTGTCATGTCAATATGATATATCTGTCATGTCAATATGATATATCTACCATGTCAATATGACAGATCTGTCATGTCAATATGATATATCTGTCATGTCAATATGATATATCTGTCATGTCAATATGATATATCTGTCATGTCAATATGATATATCTACCATGTCAATATGATATATCTGTCATGTCAATATGATATATCTACCATGTCAATATAATATATCTGTCATGTCAATATGATATATCTGTCATGTCAATATGATATATCTACCATGTCAATATGATATATCTGTCATGTCAATATGATATATCTGTCATGTCAATATGATATATCTAACATGTCAATATGATATATCTGTCATGTCAATATGATATATCTGTCATGTCAATATGATATATCTGTCATGTCAATATGATATATCTAACATGTCAATATGACAGATCTGTCATGTCAATATGATATATCTGTCATGTCAATATGATATATCTGTCATGTCAATATGATATATCTGTCATGTCATGTCAATATGATATATCTGTCATGTCATGTCAATATGATATATATGTCATGTCAATATGATATATCTGTCATGTCATGTCAATATGATAAATATGTCATGTCAATATGATATATCTGTCATGTCAATATGATATATCTACCATGTCAATATGACATATCTGTCATGTCAATATGATATATATACCATGTCAATATGATGTATCAGTCATGTCAACATAATGCATCTGCCACATCAATATGCTACAGCTATTACGCTAATATTGAATACCTACCACGCACTTGTTACCTCCCCATGATTCTTTCTTGTTGTCCCAGGTCATACAGCCTGCCGTAGTTATAGTCAGGTTATAGGGATTCAGGGTAGGATCAGATATGTTGTACGAGTCTCCTACGTATGGGCCACTCAATGGCGTCCATTCGTACGGCGCCATTCCTTAGATATTAAAAGAGGGGTTAACATTGTTGAATATCAAACTTAGTGCAATTTGAAATATCATTTAATACACTAACTCTTCAGGAGTAACACTAATTTAATAGCATACTACATCAAACGTAAAGGAATGCTGTCAGCAATGGCTTCCGCATAAAATATACTTCTTCAAATAGCTCGACGTCAAACACGAAATAACGACAGTTTCAGTGTTGATATTGTTAAGTATGTATACATTTTTATTTTGTTGTCTACGCCTTCTTACTGGGTCGTAGGTAAGTTGATGGTTTTGCAATTACTTTGAATAATTTCACGTGATTTTGTTAAAACGTGAAGATCGGATCACCACAAAAATTAAAGCCACGTTACCCCGCGATCCTTCGTGATAAAGCTCTCAAGTGTCATGGCGACCAGTAAGCATACTAGATTTTATATGTCCATATACTGACAAGACACAGATAGATAATTTATTGGACACATAGAGTAAAATGTACGTGAGGCGAAACGTGGCCCTGCAATTAGATTGGTGACGTTTGAATCTCACTTTGTAGTTATTTCAAACCGTAGGCGTTGCAACGCACCGTTATATTGCAGCTTTCCACAGTCTTAGATATATCCCTATATACATTTTATATTTTAAAAACAAATAGATGAATAAAAAGCAAAAACAAGGCACATTTTTATGTGTTCGGGATTTTTTTAACATAACCTAAGCGTACTTTATTTGGCTTAATTAAATTTTTGCGTTTGATCTTTTATTGGCATATTAGCGCAATACTGAATTCGAACATCCACTTTAATGAATCAATTACCGAAACAACATATAGTGTTATTAGTGCTAAAATGATATTGTCGCTAATTTATAAAATAAATTGTCGATGTCTTTTGGCGAATCATTTTCCTGGAGACGCTTGGTGTTAGTGTTTGAAAGTAACAAATGAAAACCTCTTTTGGGATTAAAACCGTTTTTTGTTTTTGTTTTTCTAAACAAGACGAAGGTGGAGAAAAAAATCTGCATCCAGGTTAATATTACGGCACAAAATCATTTTGGGATGACTGAAAGCTGAGCTTTTAAGGGAACAGACGAGCTTTATGCAAACCTCTTATCATCAATATTAATTACTTAGAATCAAATCAACGAATCAAAGCACATACCTGGGATAGGAATAGGCCGAAGTCCAACGTAAGTGATTCCAACTTTCAAGAAAAAATGGGGCGATATACAAGACATCCAGTCACGATCTGCTACGAGGTATGTAGTTTGATCATATGTGAGATGAGTTGGGTATTCCCCATGACGGATAAATACGTCATACTGTCTCACCTTCTCTGGGTCTTCCTGGTCTATTAGTATACAAACGTAGTCCCCGATTTTCCTGTAGATAAACTCGTGGTAGAAACATCGTGATGCGTCATCTGGTGTGTAGAAAGGCATGAAGGATCCGGAAACAAGTCCAGGAACTGGTTGTACGATCATTACCATATTCACTGGTACATCTTTATTGTCGCTGTCAGTCAATGATACACGATGTACATCTGACGTTATCGCTGAAGCAGACACTGTATCTCCAAAAATAAACGGATTCTTTCTAAACATTGTCGTCTACAAAATAAATAAATAAATAAATAAATAAATAAGTACATTGTGTACAAAAACATAACATTGAAGTAGCATATATTGAATTAGTTTGTGAAAGGAAAGGTGAGGATATTATCAACATATTTGATAAAAAACATAATATTAAGAATTTTGTTACATAGTTCTTAAGACTCTTGATAATGTTTCCTACCGTGAATTTGATGACTAGATATGGATCCCCAACGCCGTCGAGCGTGACGTTTGAGTCGTCTACGTCACCAAGCTGAAGGTCCACGTTTTTGAGGTAGTTATTGATCAGAGTCACATGAAAGTTTTCATACTCATAGTCATCCCGACAGCCAGTACACACCGAGTTCTGAAGCATGGCTGCGATCGAGTCTGAAGAAGCGATGGCCTGTCTCATTGTAATCTCGGCCTGGATAATGGATGTTTGGTGTTAATTATAAATTCCAAGAATCACATGAAAGCATATAGAAAAAGAACCGAGATATATAACTATAGAAAGCACAAGGGACAGACAACGGACGGCATCACCATCAAACCGGGTGTAACAGGCGTTCGGTTTGTTCCAGGTATATTCCGTTTGGTGTATCCCTGCCAAGAACATATCTCACCTGATGGCCCGTGATACGAAAATAAACCATAATAATTATATACGTTTCACACGGAAGTGCTATGAATAAAGATAAAACAACTGAATCTGATTATAACATAAATTGGTAGCAAGTTTGTTAGTCAAGGAAAACAAATTCGACATTAATTGATGACAAATGTGTTCGTAAACATAATCCAATTCAACATAAATAAAATAAATTATATTTGCAAAACAAACCATGCCATGATATGCTCGTAACATATCATGGCATGGTTTGTTTTGCAAATTAAATACTTTTAGTCAATGTTTTAGTTCTGTTGTAGACCATTATATTGAAAACTAATGATAATCAGGGCTGGAAAATTGACTTAGTTTATATAGGGGATGAAGCAGTAGAATGAACAGTCATAATTCACGGGTTATGCATCAACATGCTAACAGAGTCTTTATTTCTCAAAGGTAATATGAACTATATTTCTATCAACATTAAACAAATCTATTTAAGCTGCTGACCAATTCCTGCTTCTGTTTGTATGTCAGCTGCTGGATCCTAGCCCTCATCCTGAACAAGCCGGTTCTCTCTTCCGGTGTCAGATCAGAAGACTCGGCCAGGACGTATGCATCGTCCTTGTTGACACGCGCCATGAAATCTACATACAAGCGTGCATCTGCGGCAGTCTCAATGGATAGAGCCTCATAAGTATCCGGTAGGTCCGGAGGGACTGTAACCTCAACAAGGCTGTTTACCAGATCAAACAGAGCTGCAATGAAACCGTTTGCATCAACACAACGAATGTGCTTAACGTAAAATGTCGGATTACTTTTTAAAAATGCATAGAAAAATTATATTTTCTTGTGTGTGTTTTGTACGTTCTTTCAAACTATATGTTATTGAAAAAATAGGTGTTCCGAAAGAGTAAGCGACTTTTGCTTCATCGAGAACGTGTAAATCTTGGTCAATACAAGTATGTAATATCAGGCTCTACTTTGAGAACAAGGTATACAAAAATGGAACCTACAGGCAAACTAACGAGCATCAATCACGTGCAGCCAAAGAAATAGAATATGCGGCATGTATACACTAACGGTTCGGGATAGACATTTTACGATTTATTTCTAAATCATCAGTTAAGCATTTGTCTTAAAATTCAGTAGTTGTTTAACTATCATATATGGTAAAGGTAATCAACTTACTCTCGGCAGCTGTTTCTATATTTGGATCTGACTTTCCGAAGAAATCATTGAGCTTGAGTTCTGTGAGGTTGGTGTAACCATTTGTAAGTGTCGCCAGTGCATCGGCAGCATTAATCTGTTCGCAATACATATTCTCAAATTAAACACGAATGCAAATAATTTCAGTCTTATATCTTATCATTAATCCACCTCCTCCAAGTATATACCTAAATTGAAACAGCATTTGCAGTCACTCAATCCATACACTTTCTAAATGTCCGTGAACTAAATATATCTTAAAGCTTTAACATTTTAACTGTGATCATTAACTGGTTAACAGGTCATTATGTTAGTTGATACTATATAAAACAATGACTTTTGACGATAAGTTAGAAATATCAAGACACAAAGTCATCAAGAAACATTCAAAACTTACCGCAGACGCGCTTGAGGTTATCAGTGGGTCATTGATAGCATTTGAAAATGCTGTTGCAGCAGTCATGATGGTGAAGTATGTTGAAACATTAGCCTGTCCAAGGGCTGCTGTCATCTCATTGGTCAGATTGTCCATTGCCTAAAGTTAAACATAATTTTACAATCTTAAGCTAAAATAACGTGTTTTGAAACGTCCATGCTGACGTTTGTTCTTTAATAATACTTTTACAACTACTGACAGCCAGCATAAACATTTTCGTTTCTGCAAAGTTCACTGGAAATCTATTACATAATTGTGGAAAGATTTTTCATTTTAAATTTTAGTTAGTCACTTAAGCCACTAAACCGAATGCGCTGATGCATATAAAGTCCTAAAACTACACTTTCGTTTTTGACAATTGAAAATAAAACTACATTCGAAAGTAAAACAAAAGAAACTCATTTCGTTGAATGCGTTAAATATATATCAATATGTTGTGTTTATCGACTCATGACCACAAAGGGTCATTTTGAGCAAGGTCTTTTTGAAGAAACTGTTGGCTACCTCAGTGGACAACACATGGGATGTCCGCGTATGTCATCGGTGCAATTAGAGTGAAGTGGTTTGTCCGAAGACAATACAACACAGGATCAAATCGGTCCGTTTCTAAGCTTCCTGGGAGACACGGTAGTGAGCGTTGAACTTCGCACCTCAGATCGTTATCTGAGGTTACGTAGACCAACGAGCTAACCGACTGATCTATCGCGGCGCCATTACAATCGACATCATAAATAACTTTCATTCACTTTATCATAATTCAGTCAAATACTTTTAATAATGTAATCTTATAAATGTAAATATCCACAACGGTGTGATAAAACAATGCTTATTTACTAGATAAGAAAATATCAAGTGCACTTAAGCTAAAGATGGCATATTCTTTAAATTTTGTTGTTGGATATCGAACCAAATTCTGACCAAATTTATTGTAAAACATTGAAATGAAACAATCTCAAGTGATATATTTCAAGAAGCATTAAAGATACATACAGCAATAATGGCGTTTTGGACCTTGTCCACCGGCACCTCCAACAAGTTATCTAATAGTTCTTGATAAGGGATCGTGTCGTTACCGAACTCGTTCACATCAATCATCCCTACGCTCCATCTCATTGGCTGTTCACCAACTTTAAAGTTAGTGAGGGAGGTGTCGTTCTCGAACTGGTGGTCAGATACCTTCATCATATAAATATAAGATTATACTCGAAATGAAAATCGGTAATTTAAAAAGTCTGATTTTTTTATACTGATTTGTGGAGGGAAAGAAGGCCGCCGTGTTATTGAAATTAAAATAGAATTTACAAAATATTTACTAAGAATAACTTTTTTTTATATTTCAGAATCATATATATATTCGAATTTTACATTACATGCTAATGGCCAAATATATTTCGCTTTGTATTTATGTTTATCACAAAGACAGTCCTAGTTTTGCTGATAATTGGGATATTTTGAAAGGTATAATTTGACCAAATTATTTTACTTAAATGCGATTCACATGGTCGTATTATGACTTACTATGAGAGAAATTTTTCATTTATAATGCCTTATTTTACGATATCTTACAAGCTGTGAAAGGACCGATGCAATGGTCTCGGCGTATTGCATAATGATGTTCGCGTCGTTAGAAAAGGTTGCCTCCTCCAGGTTGTCAATGATAAAGCTCTGAGTGGCTGCTTGGATATCCTCAGCTGTCCACGTGTCGTTAATAGATAAAGACTGAGTCACCTATGAACAATGGAAAAACTCACATACGGACCGGTTGCTTTACATTGCTATATACAAAGTTAATGACATATCGATTTTAAAAACACGTTTGATACAAGAAAATCATCCTTGCTTTATATGTAAATATAGCGTATATATTACATCGGTACAAAAAATAATGCTGCAGGCCCCACTTGTATAAAACATCTCAACTTGAGATTTCCTCAAGTCGAGATTTTCCTCAGCTGATATCTCCTCAAAAACGGCTTATATAAAATTTTCTCAAGGAACAGGAGGAAGGCATCGGCTAGGATGTCCTGAAATTCCTTGAGGAATGTTCATACAAGATATTTTCAAGGAGACATTAGCTGAGGAAAATCTGGGCTTGACGAAATCTCAAGTCGAGATGTTTTATACAAGTGGGGCCAGATATATAATGCATGTTTGCCACAAAAATGAACAGGCAGTACAATAAGAAAAAAGGAAAGGTTGTTGATGTATACTGTCTTTCATCGTAACCCAACTGACAATGGACGTGAAGAACGTCAATTACATGCGACAGAACAATCTTTCTGGTAAAATTTGAAACATAATGCCTTTTTTAACAGTTCCAGAATCCTAGGTTTGTTCACCTTTAGATTTGAAAGCAAGTCTAAATATGATTAAGTAGAAAGAAGTAAATATTCTTGCAAATAACATTAATAAAAGTAGTATAAATCTGTCCATTCAAATTGGTTTTTGATTTACATACAGTTGTTAAATATATATTCGTTTCCTGTTGTTTCTACTTACGGTAACTGACAAGACGAATTCTGTGTACCCATGAAATACATCTGTGACCCGTACAATGACATCTGTAGTGAAATTATTGGCAGGATCCCCAACGTTCAGTACTGCTTTGACGATGGATTCAGCTGCAGAAAGAAGGAACCAGATTGTATTGTAAAAAGAAGAGTATTTAGCAAGGTTTAACATCGACACAATTATACACTGGAGCTTGATGTATCATCAAGTATATACAAATAAGACAAAACATATTGCATTATGGGTTGGTGTCTCCTCATCTAAGTTTTGAAGTTTCTTTCGATCCGTTTTCAATATTTGAAAATTTGGGCTTTAGTATAAAGAAATATTGGAAGGTGTGTCTTTTGTATAATCTTGAAGGACCAAAGAATTATATTATATAGAGTTGCTGAGGAAACCGGGGATGAATTCAGTTGTAAATAGAAGAATGAATAAGTGTGGTGTACACAAAAAACGAAAATATAATGAACACGCTATAAGGGTCAAAATTATATGACTACGTTGTGCGTTTACAGAGCGTCAATGACTTTTATATCCAAAATGATAAATGTGTAAGAATTGTTTCTCTTAAAGCCAATGAATGATTCAAAACAAAAATATTTAAGTTTAAAAGGGGAAAAAACAAAATTAGATGCTCGTGTTAAAAATAAATCATATGTTACTTACATGCCATGCCAATTACAGAAAAAACGGGTTGGGTTGATTGTGGTGTCATCCGTTTCTGATAAACGTTGTATTTTAGAGCCTCGCTATTGTCGGAGTCTGGTGTCCCCCTTTGGAGCCTCGTTCCCTCATCAAGCATACCTAGACACTCGATAGTGAATAGTGTAACTGCCGCTTCTCCTGATAACAACAGCAGTATAAGCATGTACAAAGATAAATACCACACCCAGATAAAAATTACTTTGTTTATTGTAACCGAGAATGATACATCCACCACACCTGCTCAAACTGAGTTAGATGACTGAAAATTCAAGACAATGTGATTCATTCTAGCTTTTCAAGGCATTAACCCTATCACTATCGTAAAAACTACGAATCAATATCGACAGAAGCAGTTTTATTATTGAATTCATTGGGGTATTTTTGATATGCGTCCTAACTAAAAATTCGGATTAGTCAGAAACTACAGTAAGCCAATAGTTACTTGTAGATGCACATATATATATTGCATTTTTAGGGGCGGATTGACATTAACAGGTTAAAGGTCCCTAATTCTATGTGATGTCTAGTAAATGCAGTACGTCTTATTTCAACCGATGATTTAGAACATCCTAAACTTGATGGAAAAGCAACTAATGCTTGAAATCATAAACGTCACAATATCGAGATGTCGGTCCATCCCACCCTGTTTACCAATGATTTTATGCTGTGTAAAGTAAAACCTTTGCATTTTTGATTTGCATTGTACCTGGAACATAGGATTATCTTCATTGCATTAGCGAATTTTAAATAAAAGTCTAAAAAACAGAAGCATGGAAGAATCAACGGGCCTCTGTGGTGTTTTACCATTTTTTGAATTATTTTGTATTGGTATACACGTCGGTTAGCGAAAATTCACAAATATACGGACAATATCATCAGAAGTATGTCAGTTCTATCATGAGTCCCGATCGTACTTATTATGAGTTAAAATGATGTTTTACAGCACACACACTTATGTATTGTTAAATGGTTCAAATGAAATTAAACCTAAGACTGACAGACAGTGGGGACTTCTATTTCCCCTATAATGTCGATTTCAAAGGATACGTTAGACTGGAAATTCTATTGAACTTACCTATTATCGGGTCAATTTCGCAAGTGCCGCCGTAGGGTGGAGGGTTTACAGAAGCAACATACGATGCTGTGGCAGAATGCGGGTTACCATCTTTGGTGACAGTGTTCGTAAACTTTAATACGTCACCGAAAGAAAGCGTGTTGGGTTTGATTGCCAATGTTTCTGCATCAAGCCCTATTATATGGAATGAATATAAAGAGGATTGTACAAAAACCCACGGAAGTGAATAGCACATTTTAATGCTACATAAACACTAGATACCATAAATCGACACAATGAATTAAACTACAAATGGTGATTGGAAAAAATCCAAGGTGATCGAAAGAAAAGTCAAAATCTGGAGGGGTGTGTTCTGTCACGATAGCCACATATATTTGATAATTTAAGAACAACGTCAAATGCATGATTCTCAATTAAGCATGAAACTACTTCTTCATGTACGTAAAAAGAATATTTTACGACTTAAGATGTTCAAGGTTTGTATTTTTCACTGACCTGTGTCTAGTATTGCTGTCAAATTCGGATAAGTTTCATATAGTCCTGTGACCTTGTTGAAAATCTCAATTTCCCAAAGGTAGGTGGTTTGGCCAAGCTCACACACAGGGCACAAACTTTCCAAGATTAGCTTGGTGTCTTGAGCTATCTTTGGTAAGCAGTTACGAAGGCAACTAACGAAAAACATCAACCGTATTTATCAATATCCTCATAAAATTATTAAAGGTTGTTTATAGATATGTCAACATGAAGGAGAAATGAAAGAAATATATTCCAAACAACAGATTTAAGTCTATGTATCAACATTAACATAGCGTGATACTTACTTGATCGAAATGGTCGGTGGAGTAGACGGCATGACGTAAATACCTTGAATTGCCTCCCCTGTCCTTGAATCTCCACTCTTAGAAAGTTCTACTTTGAATAAGTACCAGAAGGAGTCCGCCACCGTTGATGCGTCGAATGGCAAAACACCACTTGTGGGCCAGCTTGGGTCTGTGCAATCGGACCCTAAAGCGTTCACATCAATAGTCACATTTTGCAACTGGAAATTTCCAATGATTTCTGACATTTCTGCTTCCGTTGAAGCTGATTTTCGGCAAACCCAGTTGTACTTAAACGGATTCCATTGCATAATTGTAAATGGGTCATGCGACGCGTCTTTAGAATTGATCTGTATAACGGCGTCCATTGCAACGTGTCTTGTTGAGCCGCCTGCTATACCAGCAATAATAGGTGGAAACATGATATTAAAATACACCATATCGATTATATAGCCTCCGTCAATGTCCGTGAGATTAAATAAGAACTGCGCTTTGTAGAGACCTGGCGCCATAGTCATCTTGCCAAAAGTGATTGTGACAGATTTCGGCTGATTATACTCCTTTTCAAAGAATGTTTGCAAATGTAGGTTATCAGATGCATCTACCATCCAGATTGTCCACCAATAGAATCGCGTACTATTTCGGCACATATCTGTGACGTATGCTTTAGCTGTCAACTGTAAAACATAGAAATAGTAAATATTATATTTATTCTAATCGTGTTTTATATCATTAATAATTCTGTTTATAAAAAAAATGGTTATGGCAATTGATTCATCATTGTTTGCGAAATCTGCAATTACGATTTAAAAAAAATTGTGTCGGCTTACGTTTACTCCTAATAGATTCGTGAAGAAATATTATTATTCTTGAATTCAAAATGACATTTAACGCATATGACAGGAAGCAGTGTTACAAATGTTATATACTCTGTTATGATATTCTAATCATATCAGGTGATGCGTGTTGCCTCAGTCTGTACAAGGAATACTTTGTCATATTGATTCTGAATAGATAAAGAATGTCCTTGTGCATATATTCCACTTTAATTCAATGCTCCCACAAGAATAAGACTATGTATAAAACATGAGGTTTTCAACGGGAAAATCACATTCGGCGTCACCGCGACATTGTTACATACGCCGTTTTGATAGAATGACAATAACTTTGTCAATCGTTGCATATTGGAACATATCGTAGTTTAATAATTTAATGATGCCTAAAATGAATGTGATGGGTAATTGATCGATCTGGGTTTATGGCTGTAGGTTATACAATCACTTTTAGCTTAAATTTCTAATGGCAAAATATCAGTACTCAAACTGTTATCATCATATAGATATTAACAAACCGTGAGAAAACTTGCTGTTTAGTTGACAATACTTTGGACAACGCGAACACAACGGGATTTAAATGACTGCGGATGCCTGTTCGCTATAAATTGTTTTACACGGTGAGTGGATTCCGCTAGGTGCATAATATCGATATAAGCCTTCCGAATGTAATAGTCCGGAACACGAAAACCGCTGAATGACTTTTCCATCAATAATGATAACAACTCTGTAGATGAGTTTTCAGATCGTCAGTGAAGTAACGCCGGGTACATCAGGTTCTAGCTAGTGAGGTGTAGAAAAATACTGTTTGTTTGAATCAATAGAACTCTTACCATCTCGAAGTGTCTCAAATCGATCAGTATCATTATAACGTGTTGTAACTGTTGTACAGCATACCAAATTCTGTTTCTCTATATATTTATATGACATGTATGACATATCTAAATTTTGAGTCTGATATGAAATCTTAAGTTACACAGTCACAAAGAAAAAAATGAAATATATTAAAAAAATGAGGGTAATGAAAAGAAAAGTTAAGTACAGATTTCGATATATACATCGCCTAAAGGCGATCGGGCAACATCGAACAAGATGTATTATGAGCTTTTGAAGAATTTGATCATATCTTAATTTTACGAAATGAATACTTTTTATCAATTTCAATGTATTCTATCTGTTAGCAACAACTTAATAACAACATTTTCCTTTGCATTAGGCATGTTATGGTAGGATAACTCTCAAAAGATATTTTAAATCGATGATTTTTGACATAAGATATAGATTTTGAAAACATTTTAGGATTTAAGTATGCATTCAATGATGAGTATTTTGAAAACAGGTGTTTCTTTGATTTATAAAACATGGCTAAAAATAACCTTGAAAATTAGAATGAAGGGCAAAACTGTTTCAGTTGTGGTAAAAATACCTACATGGCATCCCGAACTTCCGAATGTATCGTCAGTTTATTGATGAAACATTAAACTAAAATAAGAAATTCTATGTTTCTCACTACAAAACAAAGAGAATTGTTTTACAGAAATAATCAACAGATCTACGGATATGACAATTATGTCTATCTTATATGTGATAAGAGTTATATATTTATTGAAATTCGGAGAGACGTCTCGCTAAGATATAAATCTCGCTTCATCAATCTGGAATATTAAAACATTACAATTATACCTGTTGCTTACCCTATTGATGTCAGTGACATACATCTGCACGGGTGTCTCCTTGCTTTTGTAGATGGAACTGAACAGCTGGCCATCTAGGAAACAATCGGTGTACAAATTCATATAACTCTCTCCTACCTGATTGGACAGTTTGTTAGAACAATTGAATGTCATAGTCTTGTTTCCGTCGCCTATAAAAGGATGTTTGATAGTAAAGTTAACACCGTACACCAAATCTATCATTTCTATATACTCAGTGCCGTCGATGTCGAAGACACATGTTATGTTGAGAAGGGGGGATACCGCAGGATCAGTCATTCTTAGGCTTACGTTCTGGACAGATTCAGACATCGGTGCTTCTAGCACGTGAACCAACTCAAGATCCCTTATAGGATTTTCCACGTATTGTATCCAGGAAAAATTCATATGAGAAATTTCTGAAAAGACAGATATTTCTACAAAGAATACGCCAGCTGCGTATGTTTTCGGCGGATCGGGAAATGCTGTTCCAGGCGAGAGAGTGGTCAAATCCAAGACTTTGGACGTACCATCACCATAAATAATTGATGCATTCAACATTCCCATAGGGAAAAGGGCATCATCTGTCATGTTAAACATAATATCAAGTGTATCACTTGTAAAGATGACGTTTATCCCTGTAGCTGTGATATTGTTCACTGGGTACTGTACCACTACTGTGTAAGGATACGTCACGCTGTCGACCATATTAGAGAATACTACGTCAAAGTTAAATGTTCCAGTTGTGATCCAAGTATAGTTCAAGCACATTTCTCGCACCTGTCCAAATATTTTGTCCACGTAGGCAACATCAGAGAATTCAATGGCTCCAATTACGTTCGTTCCAGAACTCATTGTCTCCTTGAACGTTGCAACGTCAAAAACGTGCATATATGGCATGACGTTGGTTGTCATAACTGGCGTAAGTATAACGTCTTCTATATCAACCACCAAGAAACGCGTTTCTGTATTCAAAGGGTTGGATAATGCAATCTTTGCGGCGTGCTGTCCTATGACTCCTCCGAAGTCAGCCGGAGTAATTACTTTTGTCTCGGTAAAACCCGTGGAATTACCGGAGTAAATCGGTTCACCGGTAACGGCGTTGGTTATGTTTAGGAAAACATCAGTGCCCAGCTCGTATTTAATGGTTAACGTCGCGGTGCCGTTTGTAGTTAGTGGGACGAACATCTTGTCATCAACCAAGGCCACCATGTTGAAAATCTTGTTGCCCACATATATGGTTGTCGAATCGTTCAGATGTATGTCTGTTGAAAGACAATGGGACCACATGGTATAATACCCCGCAACACTATACAGGTGTGATGTACATGCGATGTTTGCTGCGTCCATTTCACAGTATGACCTTCCAGTTTCGTCGCCATAGTCCATAAGACACGTAATATTTATTCCATCGTCAAAAACTGGGCACAATTTTGCTTCTATATTCGTGCCTAATGCTGTAGCATTTAGCTCTAACGTGGAAGGTGAAACTGCAGTTGTGGTCAACACTGTAACGATAATAAGATACATAATACAGAGCATTGTTATGTGCTGTATTCAAAAATACATACTAGCGGAAAAAAGAAACGCAAGTTTATTTTCGATAGTTATTATTTTACATGATTCATTGATGATTAATTCATTGTTTGAGTTTCTCGATTATTTCATCATTACTGAATACATTTTGATGATTTCTGATGTCCTATCACAGACGGCGTTTGCGTTAATAGCGTTAAAACAAGGGTATGCCCTTTCCTGATCCCAATCAGTAGCGTGTTTGCTCACCCCTGGCTTTAGTCGCTGCTCTTGCCTTAACCTTGACCCCATCAAGGTGTTTATAGTCCTGTGACAGATATTATTTCACTCCTGAATAGAGGTCTGCATGAGGTGAAACGACGTTATATGGGACGTTGACGCGCTTCCTAACCCTCCTGACCAGCTCGTCCCGAAAACGCTCGATTGGGGACAAATTTGGACTTTATGATGGCCAATGAACAATTGGGGCGTTGTTTTTATCCAGAAAGTTACGACAAACCCTAGCAGCATGGAGCCTCTCGTCCTGCCGCAGCGTTAGTTTACGTTGTTGGATAATAGGGAGGACGTGTCGTCTCTGCCGCCGTCTAAAATTGGTTACTGAGGTGCCAGAGACGCATGCCTCTATTTTGACGTTGGAACGGAACGCGAGGGTGTCCGACCTGGGACGATATCTAAATCTCCCTGTGGTTCTGAGACGCGCAACTAAGCGGGATATTGTTGTCTCATGTACACCATATTGCTGGACAACAAGACGTTGCATATGACTCTGTATTATCAAAGCAATGACCCTAATCCTGTCAACTTCACTCATTCGCGGCATTTCGCTCTACCATATCTTTGAAAAGAAATGTTGTTTAGCTGATCTGTACTGTTCCAATATTCGATTTGTAATGACCTACCAGCACACAGGGGAACCCCGGATGCGCGCCTTCTTGAAAAATCTGCGGAAAGAATGCAGCGTCGAGTGGGGTCACGGTCGGCTGAATGTCAACTGAAGAACATATTCACAATGCACGGATATACGGAGGTGGCTCGTCCTCGTGTCTAAAAGTTACATTTCAAAAAACGAACTTGCGTTTCTTTTTTCCGCTAATATTTATCATACGGATCAAATGAATTTTTCTTACATATTCTAACATATTACTAAATTTACTGTAATATATAATGGAAATAAATTGTCGCAAGCACAAATAGTCGAAAAAAATAAAACAAAATAACACTACACGTAAACTAATTTAGGGCAATTAATTCAGCTCAAAACGTGACAGTATTAGGATTGTTGAGATATCTGAAAATGAACCGTTTTTGTCCTCATTATTATTTGCTTACCTATTGTTGCAGATGAAGCTACTTTTGTACTATGCTATATCAATGTAAGATAATAAAAAAAATAATCTATTGAGCAAAATGTGAAATGGTCATGTGATATCAATAAGGAAAATAAAATGTTTCAAAATATGATAATGTCTTATTTCACCTATTTAACGTCTTCAGTCATCAATTAATCCAGAATCATAAAATGCTGAAATTTGGATCATGTTTTTACCATACGATCACATTTTGTAAAAGACGAAGTACTACCACATATAAATGGGAAATTTACTACCAGTGATTTTCGCTTTGAAATATGGGTTGATTTGCTTGTGATCTTCTTATGAAGGTCAAAAGCAAATCAAAGAACTTGCGCCACAAAAGCACTACTCCTTCCATCAGAAAATCCATTCGTGTTCGCATGGCTGTATAAGATTATATATATATATATATATATATATATATATATATATATATATATTTTAGGTACTTGCTCCCGGCCTTATCTTCAATATAAATCCATATGGACTATACTTTGACAACGTGTTTCTCATCAGAGAAGTGGATGGTATTGATTTTAGAAAAAGACAAGAGTTTATTAAAATTGGCTGATAACATGACAGCTTGACATTAACAAGATGTTACTGTGTTACAGAACTATAGTAACTGACTACCTCTACAGGAATTGAACGGTTTGATTCTTTTTTTATTAGAGATAGGGGATAGCAGGCATTGCTGCTAGTCCCCGAGGTTTGTTGAAACCAGCATGCCAGGCACTAATTCATTCAGTAGAACGGTTGAGAATATATTCATGTATTTGGATTTTAATACATAATTTATAAAATTATGGGGCCTTTCCATTAGTTGTCGCCTAGGTGTCAAATTTAAGGCCTTCAGCATTAAAGGATGAGTCTTGAGAGGACGAAACAGCTGTATGATGCAGTTTAATTTAATTTGTGTCCTTTGTACTATCTATTTTTCTATTCCGCCTGTGTAATAATTTTGATATGGTTACTTTTGTTATGACACGCGATTGGCTGAAGGTTTCATTATACTGTTTCATGAAAATAAGTCCAGATCAAAGGATAAATATACGGAGGTCGAAATCGAAAAACTTATCGAATTTATAGATTGCAATATTTTGGTTGAGTTGGGTGATAAGCTCTTCCAAAAGACTTGGTATAACTATGGAAGCAAACTGTGCACCTCCATTGCCTGACCTGTTTTGTTATCACACAAGGCTAAACGTATAGATGAACTTATCAAAGCAGGTCAAAAAGACCTTGCGAAGTTCTTTAGTTTCACCTTCAGATATCTTGATGGTGACTTGGTTTTCAACAACAAGAAATTTAATTTATAGGTTATGGATTTCCAGTTGATATCAGGTTATTAAACCCGTCAGAGATTTCAATGTATCCTCACAATTACCAAACACATCAAATGTCTGAAAAGTTGACGCCTTTACAGGAAATGGAAAGATATATATCACGTGAAATTTATGTGCCTTATCTTCTTTATGCAATTGCATTAAATTTCTTAAATATGGAGAAAAAAAGCAAATATAGCATGCATAAAGCACAATTTATGACTTCGTAATAATAAGCAAATTGATAACGTCGATTTGTACAAACCTATAGGATATGATGAGTACGTAACAGACAAATCGGTATTCAGGATAGGTTCACAGCAAAATACTTTATCAATAATCATTTTGTGAGGAATGTGTTCTTGGTATGTTTTTTTCACGCTATCATAATCAAAACATAATCATGAGCTGCATTAATCTACGAGAATTTCTGGCACAAACAAAGACCCCCCAGTGTCTTTTAATTATGCACTACAAACCATTTCCGTTAGGTTTTCAGCTTATGGATAAAAAAAGATGTCGATCAAATTAGTATTATGATCTGTAGTCACTGAAGTGGAGTCATGTTGCAGAACATAAAACCATAGATTGTCTTGATATAGCTTGTGCCATGATAAACAGACATTGATCAGGAAATCATCCTTGTAGTTGGACTTAATTCATGGTTGTTTTTCAAACCAATAAAAGGAATTAAAAGGCAAAGGAATTAACTTTTGAAATATGTATATCTTGTTTCACAGAAAAGTGCAAATAAATAAATGTGGAAGATGTAATATACACGTATTTTGATGTTTCCATTAACACAAATATATTGTTTTGTTTATTAACAATGTAAGATGCACTATATTACAAAATATAACGTGATTTAAAAATCATACACTTTAAAATAAAATTATATTAGACGACTATTTCTGCATCTGCTTCATCATAACTACAAATGTGTTTGTTAGCTCTTCCCTTTACCCTTGACAACAGTTTGCTCAGCGCAATGTAGTATCAACGGAAGGCTTTTCCATCAAATCACAATTGGTTTAAATGTTACTTTCATATGTTGATTTTCCAATTGTTTACCTAGAGATTTGTTTGTATAATTTTGGTAAGAAAGCTTCAGGGATTTCTGAGATCATTATTTAAAATGAGATTATAAAGCATTCTATCCGAACATTTCATTGGGCTGAAAATGCAACAAAAGTTTAAGCACAATTCAAACTTTTCAACAACATATCTCAATAAACTTGAAATAATTGAATTTTTGTTTTCTGCATGAGGTAGCAAAGAATTGTTACAATCAATTGAGCGTTTTGTTAATAATTTTATCTTGTTTTTTTCACATATTGTATTTGCTTTGTTAGGCATACATTTACTCTTCCAATACAAACATTAAACACAATGCGTGTCTGAAGCCCAAGTGTGATCCACGTATAAATCTGAATCCAGAAAACACACATACGTACATTAATTATTTTATCTGCAGAAAGTGATGCTTATGCAGAAAGATGGGTAACTGACCATACTAGATTGTACTTAAATAAATGCGAAGAAAATGTTGATTAATTATAAAAAGAATTGTGATATGCATGTGTTTTTTCCTGTTCTTTATTATGACCTAATTAGTCATGTACAGCTGAAACAAAACAAATAGCGATGGGTAAGACGATGAAAAATACAGATCATTGTTAGTTATTCGCATGCTAACTAGCCAGGTATCGCTCCCATTTACATATGTAGTTATATAGCAATGATGTGTCATTACATTAATTGTATGGATATTGTTTCGGCAGGACTAACAATGGCTTTCCCTATTCCCATGTTCAGACGATTTACTAAAGAGCGAAGCCATACTGCTTTTACACTAAATTTACTATCTACATCGATAACTAATTTAATAAGTTTTTGCTTCGCTTGCATGCAGACATGCTATTGTCTGACTCTCAATATAAATGAAAAAGAAAAAAATACAATACATACCAGTCTAGTTTTCAGCTGAATATAATGTCATGATTTCAATCTTTCGACTAACAGCGACGAGAATCATTTATGTGATTTTCTTATCGATAGTTCCGAATGTTACCTCGCAATCTCTCTTCAATATAAACCATTTTTATTACTTGAAATGTTAGTTGAAGAAGACATTTTAACGGTTATTACAAATAAATGGTGAGATTACACCAGATATGATATTGATTTGATGCCAAACCAGCTATTTAGCTATCATTAATTTTCGGTCGTGGAAAATGCTTCATTGGTGATTGATTTTGAAGGAGTGTACAAAGCAAATAAAGTCTTTCATCAGACCATGATTATGTTTGAAGCTGTTATTTCAATGCATTTTTTCGACTTTTTGCTGTTGAAGGAATGAATAAAGCGAATAACGTCTTTCATCAGATCATTTGTTTTATATCGAGGTCACGTTTTTTTTTTTTAGAACAGCAGACCACTGAAGCGTGACGGATCTTTTTGTTTATTGTGTGGTAATTTCTATTAAGATAACTTAGTGGTACTCCAGAGACGTATCCATTTTTCATTGGTGTTCCTAATTATGCTTCCCAAGGTTGAAAATATCCGATGTTGACTAGAATCATTAAACTACAGCGTGGTGAGCCCCCTAGGACAAAACATAATGATCACGTCAACATGCATTTAATGCAGAGTGATTATTCAAGGACATTCCCCTTGCTAGCCTTTGATGCAAACAGTTAAGAAAGGATCACACAAACGACACACGGGTGAATATCATATTTCGACACAAGTATGATTTAGAGCCAGACAATGAATTAAACTGCATCACACTGCTGATCCGTCCTGCTAAAACGCACCAGCTATTCAGCCTTATGTGTTGAATGAAAGGCTGCGAATGAGAGAAATAAGAACAGAAATAGGCCGAAAATAAACAATCCGGATGAAACAACTTCATACTTTAATATCTGATGACTAAACATAACTATGTCAACGTGAGTACTGAACCATGACACTATTCAAATGAATTAGAAAGAAAAAAGTTCAAGATAACTGCCAACATCGAACCATTTGAAGCAATACTACTGAGTACATTTTTAAACTCATTTACATATTTTTAAATTAATACGGAGTTACTTGTATAGGACAAGATCATTGGTAAACTAGAAAGAGACTAAAGGTTTGCT